GGTCGTGAAACACTTCAAGCGCGACTTTGAAAGGGCATAGAAAATCGAGGATTCAACCAAATTCAAAAATTTCTTCGCCCAAATGCTTCAAATAAAGGCTAGATTCGTTTTAGTGAAAAAAAAATTTTGGGGTTAGGTGCACTTTAAGTATTTTTTTCCAGGCCTCTCCATCCAACTCCATAGTTTGATTCCATTTTGTTGGGCCAGTTTGACACCTCGTGTGAGTTTTTTTGATAAGTAAACAATAGAAGTCCCTAGTTTTGGCTTGGTCTAAGTGAATTTTATCAGGTCGTCTAGTTGGAATAGGAGGCTTTTCCCAATGTATGGTTCGCTTTCTGGTGGTACTGTGTTTTTCGCTTTTGTGGCTAGATGCTTCGGAATTGCACTTACAACTTGATAAAATTGGAGGAAGTTTGTTTTGCAAGCGTATTTGTTCTTAAATTCTCGGTAAGACATAAACTGGCCATTGCTATTCAACAGATCTTGCATAAACAGAATATTGCTGTTAACCCATTCACTGATAAATATGGGCTTCCCTCCAACGATAATTTCTTTGTTGTTAAATAGGATCATATCCTGTCCTCTATCATAGTTATACAGGGTTTTCAATTCATTGAAAAACTTTAAAATGTCTATATAAAATGTTGGGAAAACATCAATACATTTGGTGTCGTAGTTACATCTTACGAGAAAATTCAATCCTCCATATCTTCCTAGATAATAGTCTGGGACAGTTTTCCAGTTGTTTCTTCCCGGTGCGAAAAGTCTCGGGATCCAAGCTAATCTCAGTGCTTTGATCATGATGTCTACGTCTATCATGCGTATACCCCCTTCATCTCGATCTTGATACAGCCCTTCTCTTTTTATTTTCTCATTTTTGTTTTTCCATAGAAAATTAAATAGATTGGTTTTGATTATTGGCATTATTTCTGGAGGGACATTGAGATTTGATGCTGAGCAAACGAGTTGTGAAAGGGCCAGAGATTTTATAATTAATACCCTCCCAAATAGTGTAAGGTTACGTGCCCTCCATAAGTCCAGATTTGTTTGCAATTTTTGCAGCTTGTGGTTGAAGTTATGTTAGTTGTTTCCTTTTTCGTCATACGAGACATAGATTCCTAATGTTTTAGCCGGGTTATGCAGCCATTTCAGTTGTAATAGGTTGCTTTTACTATTTTCCCATTTTCCCAACCAGATCGCTTTTGTTTTTTTGCGGTTTAATTTTAGGCCCGCTAGCGTACCAAAGCTATCAACTATTTCTAAAGCCTTTTCTACAGAGGCGAGGTCGGCACAAAAGAGATACGTATCATCTGCATATTGGCTCAATTTCACTTCGTTTCCTAATATTTCAATTCCCTTTACATGTAATAATTATTGAGATTACAGCTGTTTTTCCTTTGTCTCATCAGTAAACAAGGAAATCCATGAGTACCAAGTGAAATATCAAGACTTTATGGATGAACTGAAATCATTGCAAGGATTGTTAACGCTAAAAAACCAAACTTTGGCTGAGGAGGAATTAAGCCTTAAATGGTTTACTATTCAAGAAGGCGTTTCGGCTATAAAGAGAAGAGAGCTCTCTGAAGGAAATGAACATCTCTTTCTTCGAAAGGTACCAATCCAAGACCTTTATGACATCTATAAACACGGTTTGCACAGGCCTTGAAAAGTCCTTGAAAAGGAATCAACCCCTTGAAAGTAATTAAAAATTTGAAAATTTTTAAAGTCCTTGAAAAGTCCTTGAATTTTCCCCAATAGTCCATGAATCTTATTGAAAGCTCCTTGAATTTAAATAAAACTTCATTAAAACGGTGCTGTTTTACGCCAAAAAATTCTTTGAAAGCTCAGCTATACTCAATGTTCAGCATTTGCTTTCTGTTTATGGTTAATGTGTGGTGTTTGCTTGTGTCTTCCAGAGGTAAGGTATTGCAATAAACTTTTTAAACTTTTTAGTCGGTCTTGCGAGTTGTCCTCGTACATAAGGAATTTCCAGGTTTGCAGTTGAGTGATGATGAAGTCAAAGGGGCGAAAGGGCCATTGCTTATACAATAAGAAGTGGGGACGGTCAAAACGAAAGACTTTACGAGAGGAAATTGACGAGATTAAAACGAAGAAAAGAATAATTCGTGGATTCTGATATAAAGTCGCTTAGTGAAACAGCAGATGAACTTTGCTTAAATGCAGAATCCTCAGGAAAGTTAACCTGTGTGACCCAAGCAATTCACTTCGAAAAACAGCTAAGGACAAAATTCAAGAACTAGCTAGCTTAGATGCAGGGTTAAATTCCAAATTGGAAAGCTAAAAAAATAGACACAATCACAACATTTTTCTGAGGTTTGTGATTCGATTGTGTTTCTTTGCAGATCTTCCCATACAAAAAGTACTTTGAATTGAGGGGTTGGTTATGTCAAATTGAGCAGAAAACAATTCCTTGAAAAAATCTGATTTGTCCTTGAAAAGTACTTGAAAACCAAGGTCTCAGGTCTGTGTGAACCATGTATAAAGGTTATACAAGGTGGACACATAGGTACTGGTAGTCTTTGAAAATAGTGGTCATGGAAAGTACAAATCGTGACGTGTTAGGCAACAAATGTTAGGATCCCCATGGATCAGTGGTCATCAGTAACTTTGGCCCTGATAAAGATAGTAATTTATGAATATATATTGTTATGGGTTTTTTTTTTCACAGGGAAAGAAAGAAGAGGCAATTGCTAATGCAAAGTAAGTATAATTTTCATAGTTTTAGAATCAGTTGAGTTTTCCTGTAATCGATCATCGGAGATAAGTGGATTGACCCAACCGATCGATCATCGATTATAATATAATCGGAATACCCAGCCAAAAATAAATACATGTTTGTTTCATGGCCGATATGTAAACAAAGAGCCCTGTCGTAAGACGGGACCCTGGGAATGAAGTCACAATTTGAGCCAATTCTTTTAGCCACAAGCAACGTTTTTGTGGCTATTCAGCTTTCATACATTTGTCATATTTCTGATCGCATAAGATCTTTAGATCTGTGATCAAAATATGAACAATCAAATGTGAACAAAACAAAACCCTTACAAACTGTAACGGTTTCTTAAGTCAGAATTGAAATCTCGTTCTCCCGGGTTGTTTGCACGCGCAGTCGAAACTCCTTAGAACACCAAGCCAGTATAGGAGAACAATCTTTACTTTATTGTCTTTAATCCTAATCTTGTAGCCTCAGGGCGTTTCGTTGCGAATCGAAGCAAAGTGGTCAACTGAAATAATTACATCAAGAAATCACTAAATATCGTTGCGTTTCTAACTTAGAAAGTAATCACAATGATTATGCCATGTGCTCATGTTAATAGAGAGCTTTGGGAGCGGTTGAAATCTAAGTATAGCTCTCACTAGAATCACCAATTTACGTAACAATGTAAATATCTACATCAGTAGATTGTAGCTTACCAACGTTCGCGGGTCTTGATTTTCCTATGAGAATTTCGTTCTAACTTGTCTTACGATCTTGAACAGAAGGGGTCTTAGCTTGAACTGAATGTGGGCTATGTTTGTTAAGCATTTAATGCATCAATCACGGTAAAGTCAATCAAATGGGAAAATATTTCTCAACTTTACCGGAAGCGGTTACACAAACCAATAGAGAGAATTAAACACTCACTCACGATAATACAGAGTTCGCCGTGTTTTGTATGGCGCT